TCCTGGGCGCCCGCTGTGTGCAGGCCCTGTCCCTGGGGGAGCACAGAATCTTGCCCTCCTGGAGCTTAGCCCAGGGCCAAAGCCCACCCCAACAAGGTGCTCATACAGGGCACATCCTATGGTGGAGAGCGCTCTCTGAGCAGGGGAAAGGCCTCTCTAGAGACCTGCCATTTGCCCAGAGGCCAGAATGACTGCACTAAGGGGAAGTTTTGTGGACATAGGAGACTGGGGGTCCCAACAGAGGGAAGAGCAGGGGCTAGGGCACTGAAACGGGTGTGTTAGGAGGCAGTGTGGCTGGAGCAGGCAAGCCTGGGGAGCTAGGATGATGAGGTCAGAAGCATACATGGGGTCTCTAAGCCTGGCCAAGACTTTGGGTTTTCCCCTTGCTGTCACGGGAAGGCAATGGAGAGTGGACAGCAGAGGGGCGAGACTCCTTGAGGTTTCCTTTTAAAGAACTGGCCTGACTGGTACCGGAGGTAAGACAGAAGGGGCAGGGAGGAGGCAGGGAGGCTACAGGGAGGCTGCTGTGGGGGTCCAGGAAGGAGCCAGATCCTGGAGCTGGTCTGGGAAAGTTATCGTGGAAGCTGTGAGAGGTGAATGAATTCAGGATATTTTTTTCAAGGTGGGGATTCTGGGAAGTGAGAGAAAGGGGAGGGGAGTCCAGGAGCAACTTGGGGCCCCGTGACCCCTTTGCCTATAGATTCCTGAAAAGTGGGATGCAGTGTTCAGAAACAGCCTCCTCAGTGACCCTGGGGCACCACTATTAGACTGGGGGCTGCCTCAGCTGGTTCCGCTTCCCCTCAGCCCCAGGCTGGGCTCTCGCGTCCAGGTGAGAGAAAAGTCCCTTGTGTCCCCCCCACCTGCCCCCTACACACACACACACACACACACACACACACACACACTACACATATAACACACACAACACACACACACACAACACACACAAACATACACACACATGCAACACACAACACACATATATTACACATATAACATAATACATACATATACACACAATCATACATACAACACATGCATACATACGATACACACATAACACACATATAACACACACGTGCATACATAAACACACACATACACACACACAGAGAAGGGGTGATTGAGCATCAGGTCCAGGATAGTGGATGGGGCCCAGGCCTAGTGTGAGGAGCTCAGAAAGGGGTGTAGAGGCCTCAGAGTGGCAGAGATTCCCCTTGTCTGGATTGTCTCAGAGTTGCCCCCTTGGCCAGGGCCCTGAGCCAAAAGACCCTGCTTCTCCCTCCCCCTCTTTAACCAGGTCCCCTCTGAGGCCATCTCTGGCCTGCTCTCCCAAGGGGGCATTAGATGTGAGATTGGGTGTGGCTCTGGTGGCAGGGCAGGAGAGGACCTGGCCTGCTTTGCTTACAGCCACCTGGGAAGAACAAGCTGCGGCTGCTTCCTGGTCAGCCGTGCTCTCCCGGGCTCACATGGGGACCAAGCTAAGCTGGTGACATCTAGCTCAAGGGCTCCAGGCTGTGAAGTGTCCTGTGGACCTCGACCCTGTCCCTGAGGAGCCCACCGAGAGGGGTCACTGATCCAGGGCATTAAGAGTCCTGCACCCTAACCCCCTCTCCATATCTAGGTTATGACTTAGAAAGGGGCCTCCCTCCAGGGGATCTAAATGGGTAAGAGCCCAGATCTCCTGCTTCCAGAACCTCTCAGCCCTCCAAAAGGCAGGGTAGAGGTGGACACAACAGATCTGAATCCAAGCTCCACCACTTGCCTGCTCTGTGACCTTGGGTAAGTCAGTCTCTCTCTCTTTGTCAGTTAAATGGGGATAATGATCCAATTGTCCCTCACTATTGGGTTCAGGTGAGGATCAATATCAAGGCTGCATATGCAGGTGCTTCCCTCTTACTTACAGAGAATTTAAGAAATGTAAAAATGCCAAGAGTCCCGAGGTCAGGGGGCAGCCTCAGGCTACCTCTGAGGGCGTCCACAAGGCAGAAAGGGAAGCAGAAGCAGTGAGGGCTGGGAAGGAGGCTTCTGAGACGAAAGCACAGCAATCGATGAGCAGAGCGGCAGGTATTTATTCTGGGGGTCCTGATCCTAGACACCCTCACCCCACGCCACCCTCCAAGCTTGGGGTCCAGAGGGCCAAGAACTGGAGTCAGGAGGAAGGATGTGGTCATGGTCATGGCTGCTCTGTGAGTGGGGAGAGAAGGGAGGACAAGGCCAGGGCTGGAACGGGAGCAGCAAAGAGAAGAGAGAGTGGGAGTTCGTGAGAACCAGGCCCCAATTCTCCCACTTTCCCACCCTGACCCTCGGACTGTGAGTGCTTGGCACTGGGGCCACACCCCTGGCACTGCTGAACACCTTCCCACCGCTACCCTGGGGGGCAGACAGGTCTGTGTGCCCCTTCCCATTCCCCAACCCCCCGTGACAGCCTTGAGATGGAAGCCACATTATTCCCAGAAAGAGGCTGGCCCTGCCCAGCTGGACCCACCTGGGCCGGCCCTCAGTGCTGGTCCAATATGAGGGGCACCTGAGCGCTGTCCACTTGCGGGGGCAGCCGCTCGCCTGTGCGCACATTGAACATAGGCAGGGTAGAGAGTGGCCTGGGCACCTCTCGGCTAGATGCCATCTGTCGCAGCTCCTCTGTGTTCCCACGGATGGTGCAATGGTGGACCATCTGGATGCTAGGGGCACAGGAGGGAGACACATACACAATAGGTGGAGGAGGACAAACAGGAAGTTCTTCAGTGCTAGCTCAGTATCCAGGGAATGAGGCATAGGCTCTGAGTGCAGACATCCTGGGTTCAAACCTGCGTATCCTTTGCAAGTTGCTTAACCAGTCTATGCTTCAGTTTCCTCAACTGTAAAATGAGGATAATGAAAGAACCTACTTCCTAAGATTGCTATGGAGTTTAAATGAGAAAATACAGGTTGGGTGTTTAGAAAAGTGCCTGGCACATGGTGAGTGCCTGAGATACTAAGTCATTAATAGATACCCACAGTGGCATGTATTTTCAGAGGCCACTGTTTGCTAGGCTCTGTATGGTTTTTATATTCTGGTGATCCCCTGGATCCCTTCCAGCAATCAGTTTCCATTTCTGATACTCTCTCCCTTCCCCATCATCCTCATTTTAGTCTGGCAAACCTACCTCCTCCACCTTTTCCTAGCTTTTGCCCAAGCTCTTTTCCTGGCGGACTTTGACTGCTTCTGTTTTGGATCCTCAAACCTGACCCTCTTCCACCCTACCCCACACTGCCCCCAGCATTGCTTAGCTCAGACGCTAAGTCTTACTTCCTGTCTGTGTTTCAGACCTGTCTCCTTGAGGCTGGAACCAGGCTCCACCCTCACCGGGCCAGAAACCCTAGGAGGGGCTGAATGAACTGACCGCCACACCCATTAGCAAGTCCCTCCTGAGCTCTAGATCCAGTTTGCTCTAGGAAGGCTGAGCCTCCTCATCTGACATTCTCATGGGCTTGTTTTCTGCTGTTCAGAAGCGTCTTTATTTCATTTTGAGAAATAGGGTAGCACAATGGTTAAGCATGAGGACTTGCTTTGGGCCTGAATGTGAGTTCCTCTGCTTACTGGTTGTGCTACCCTGTGTGAGTTATTTGACTTCTCTGCCACCATTTCCTCAACTGTAATAAAGCTGTTGTATGAATTAAATGAATTAATGCAAGAAAAACATTTACATCTACTGGTCAGTATGCAGCCAAAAATAGCTATTATTATAGGGAGTCTTCTGTTGCTATTATTATCACTGGTATTATTATAGTAGGTCCACTGATGAACTCGGCCTTCAGTAGTAGGACATTTCCAAGCCCTTTGGCATGAACCCACCCATACTCGTGGGCTTTTCACAGGCTCCCTGGTTGCCAGGTCAGACAGACAATAAGACCTGGTTTTCTTAAAGGGGCGGTGGCCCCAGGCAGGGTGGAAGCCATCCTTCTTACCACTGGATTACTGATCAAATCCAGGAGGGGGAAATGATTCCCATCTATATCTTCATCTCAAGTAGTGGACACAGACTCTGGCTGGAGTCTGAGAGATAAGACTAAAGGAAAGATATTCTAGCTTCCTGCTGAATGGGCCACCCTCCTCCCCAGAAAGAATAGAACCAAGCACTTTCTGGCCAGCGGAAGGAGGTGGAGCCACCCTCTTAAGGCGAGAGGAGGGTCAAAATGAGCTATTGAGTCTGGAATTTGGCAAGCAGAGTTGTCCAAAACACAATTTTCCATTCCCAGGCGAAGGGAGGCTGAGACAGGAAGGGAGCAAGAAGAGTATGGAAGTGGAGGCAGCCAGGCAGGTAATGACCTCGGGTGGGGGAGGCCTTGGTCGATGGGCCCCCTCCCCACCCCTAACCCCACATCTGGGTCTCATTACTCTGGCAACACACACAGGTGGAAAAATGGTCCAGGGACATGTTTTCCAGAGCAGGAGCAGAAGTCAGAGCCACAGTGCCCTCCCCCACAATCTTTCCACATCAGCACTTGGGCAGAAAAAATGAACAGGCAGGCATTCACATACACACACACACACAGCCCTTTGAGCCCTGCCTCTGGCACACAGCTCGCAGGAGAGGGTCATTGGGCTGGAGGATGTTCTGACCAATAAAATCTGATGCAGGTAAAAAACAGATAGCAGATTCACTCTTTTGGATAATTTCAATTTCCTCGAAGAAGCAAAAAGAAAAATGAATAAAGAAAATTGGATTCTGTAAAAATAAATCAACACAAAATCCACACCAGCAAGGGCTAATATCACACACACATGGTAAAATTGGTTATTGACTCAAAATTGATGGAGGAAGCCTATTTTCCTGACACCAGCAGAGCTAGAAAACTGACACAGGAAAGCTGGACATGGTGAAAAGTAACTGGTCAGAAGAGAATATTCTCAATGGCAGAAGATAGAATTGGTCAAACTTGGCACAGGCCAAAAAAAAAAATAAGAAAAATCCAAAACTTACATAGAAAATCACTGATCCCAATAGGGAAAAAATTCTACCAAATGAACATGAAAACAGAAAAGAAGGAAATCCGTTGTATTACTTTGTTAAAAAAAAGTTGATCAAGGAATTAAATTGAGTTAGATAGATCAAAGAATTACATTTCTGTTCACACTGGGAAATTTATTCCCCATAAAAATTCAGAAATGTAGGTAAATACTGATTCTAAAGTTTGGTATTCTTCAACCTAATGAATTGAGATGGCGGGGTCAAAATGGTGGGTTTAAAACTGGGGTCTTGGGCACCCTAAAATCAGCTGGTGAGCGTATACACATGGACCCACATGGGTCCATCCGCCTGACTCACTCAGCCACAGCCCTTCTTTCCAGGCTACCTGGCATGTCAGATGCCCACACTCTGGTATCTCCCATCTGCCCCACCCAGGGGGAACAATGGGTCCACTGTGACCCTCACAGGATTCTGGTGGCCTCACAATGTCCCCCTGAGGTCACTACAGAGATAACCTTACCACCCCCTGCACCTCAGGCACAAGACTGCCAAGGCCAGCATAGGTGATCATCCTTGGTCCTCCTCTGGCCACCCAGGGCAAGGCTCGGGCCAGAGCCCTACAGGAAGCCTCTGAGGGAACCAGGAACTGGGGCGCACCTCCCCCACCGAGAAGCAACCCAGAAGAGATTTCCAGCCGCCATCCTGGAGGTCCTTGAACCCAGCTCCCTTCACCCACCCCAGGAAGAGATGCAGAAAGACACTTCGCTGCCGCCCCCATCTGGGCCCTTGGCCTCCAACACTGCCCTGGGTGCAGGCCTGCAGGCCAGCTCATCTGGACTCCCGAGCAAGAGCGAGACTCCGCGCAGCACCAGCCCCAACCCCCACCGGAAGCCCAACATATCCAAGGTGATCCTGGGGTTCGTGGCAGGCAAGGGGGCAGGCAAACGCGTGTCCCTGGCCGCCCTGAAGAAGGCTGTTGCCACCAGGGGCTACAACATGACCCGCAACGCCTGGCGCTTCAAGCGAGTGCTCAAGGGGCTGGTGGACAAGGGCATGCTCAAGCGGGTGACAGGCAAGGGGGCCGCAGGCTCCTTCCTCATGGGCAAGAATCATGCCTCCAAGATTAAGCTCAAGGCCAAGAGACGGCGGCAGCGGCGGCAGCAGTCTCGGCAGCGCCGGTCTGGGCAGCGCCAGCCTGGGCAGCGCCAGTTGCTCATGGGCTCCAAACAGGGGCACAAGCAACCCATCAGGGGGGTTCGCAGGGCGGCCAAATGCCGCCGCAGTTAACCAGGAAGGTTGGGCAAGCAGGCAGGGGTGCCAGGCCCGCCACAGGCTCAGTGCAGTGAGAATAAAAGGAGCCTAACTTATTTCACACCTGACTCCTGGAATCTTTGGGGTTCAAGGGAGTGGGAGAGGAAGAGGTCTGGGGGTACACAGGAAAGGTAAGGCCAGAGGTGGGGGAAACCCTGGGGTTTGGGAAGGGCTGGAGAAGAAAGCATCCAGGTATTAGCTAGTCCAATCGCATTATCTTGGAGGTGAAGAAACTGAATGCAGAAAGGGTCACAGTAATTATGCTGCAGAACAGAGCCTGCAACCTAAGTGTCTGACTCACAGTGAAGTGTGTGTGTGTGTGTGTGTGTGTGTGTGTGTGCGCGTGCGTGTGTGTGCGTGCTGGTGCACACACTGGAAGCCTTGTAAGTTGCTTCTCAAACCCTTTGCCCGAAGGTGGCAGCAGATCCCTAAAGCCTGGCTATATCCCCTCTCCTGTCCCACATTAGACTCTTCCATGGAGACCAGAAAATGAGAAAGCCAAGCCAGAATAGGTGGGACCCAGCCCCCAGCCAGCCCAGGATTGGAGCGCATAGACCAAGTGTGGCCCCATTATCTGGGATTTGTCTGCTGCCCATGGAGGTTGGAGGGTCCAGCTTAATAGTCCAGAGGGGGGCTCCCACCCAGCCCCCAGACTTCCCCTACTCACTCAGAGGTGGCCTGGTCTCTCTTCAGCCTGTGGAAAAACAAGGGTGAGGATTAGCTATTATCCACAATTGTCCAGGTGCAGCCATGCAAGGGGCCCCTGCTGTTTTCCTGGCTGAGGATTCCACTCTCGGAGGGATCTGGGTCCCCAGGCAGCACATGTACCACAAGCAGCCTACAATGTGAGCACCAGCCTCGGTGCCCTCCCTGCCCTCTGCCCCCACACTCACCGTCCCTCCCGCCGGCAGCACATGACGTAGGCCAGCAGCAGGGTCAGCAGCAGGGCCACCAGAAGGGGCACCAGGAGGGTGACGAGGGCGTCGGTCAGGAAGTCTCGGGCTGTGGCCTCAGTGGGTGGGCAGAAGAATGGGTCGTGCTCCAGGATCCCATCCCCTGGGGCCGGTACCTCGTCTGCAGGCTCTGGCACTGACTTGTCCACCTGCTCAGGAAGCCGAGGGTTGATCCAGGAGTGGATGGCTAGACACAGAGACCCCCAGGGCACAGAGCAGGAGTTCTACTCGAGGAAGCGGCGGGGACTCCTCCTGCCTCGCCTCTCCCAGCTCATGTAACTGAACAGGACAAGCACCGGTCTAGAAACCAGGAAAAAATTCTAGGAGAGGCAGGACCATACAACAGGCAGAGTACAGTCCTCAGGGTTGAATCCTGTTTCAGAAAACTTCTGTGCTGCGATGATTTGCCTCTAGGTGCCTCGATTTCCTCATCTGTAAAAGTAGGATGCTAATAGTGGTACCTGTCTCCTGGGTGGTTGCGAGGATAAAACACATGGATTGCATAATGCCTTACCCATAGCAAGTGCTCAAGAATATTGATTACCAGTTTCTGGCTGTGCTATTGGTCAAGTCACAGGAAGGGTTCCTAGCCCTGGGAACAGGATCTCTAGTGACCCTAGACACCTCAGCTCCATATCCCAAAGAGCAGAAAGTGAGCATCTTTGGTTTATAACATAGGGGTGAGCTATCTAGTCCATGTTTCAAGATAATTTGCTAAGTGACACCTTAGAGGAAAGTAAATAAACAGCTGTCACACAGAAACCCTAGGTGGAGAAAGAAGCTTGGCACCACTCTATGGGAGTGACTGTTGGAGCTGTTGAGTTGGGCAGAGCTGGGGTTCCAGGAGCTGGCGATCCTTTTGTCTGGATTATGGACTCTATTGCCCTCTTGTGGGAGAAGGTAGAACATCAGAACATCAGGCTGTGTGTGTGTGTGTGTGTGTGTGTGTGTGTGTGTGTGTATGAGAGAGACAGACAGACAGACAGACAGACAGAGACTGGGAAACAGTAGAGATAATTGAAGTAACAGAGATGGGATGGGAAGGTGAGGATGGAGGAGACCGTGATGGGGGCCATGTCCCACCCCCCAATCCCAGAGCCCTCCTCACCAAGGACACATTGCACCAGTCAACCCGGAAGTGAGGTGCCAAGGTGTCATAGCAGGACAGTAGCGGAGGCTGGCCCTGGGCACAGCGCGCGTGGCTGTCGGGGGATGCCACCATCTTCAGGCAGGTGGAGAAGGGTGAAGCAGAGCCCACCTTGATGTATACCCTGGGCCCAGATAGAAACCACTATTAGATAATTGAGGGACGTGTCACTGAGCACTGGAGATTTGGGGGTTATGGCCATCCTGAGATCTGGGATTATGGTGAGAGTATACAGAGCACCCCAGTCTTCTGGGGACCTTGTCCTCTCAGCAATGTCCTTAAATGGATAAATCTTTCGTGTCCTATGGGTACCAGGAAGTGCAAAGTTCAGGGTAACTAGGGTTTGGGCCCTGGAAAGGCAAGAGGAAGATGGAATGACCAGAAGAACTGGACAGTGACATGATGCTGGGAGGTAAAGACGGGCATGATGAGCATGCAATACAATGGATAAAGCCCCACTAGGAAGTTAGGGAAACCCATGTTCTAACCCCACCACCTAGACAAAAGGCAAGCTGCTCCCTCCTCCAGGAAGCCCTCCTGGGCTGCATACCTACCCTTCCTTGCGGCCCTCAATAGGAAGGGGGACTCGGCCCCCACGGTCCAAGGCAGAGGTGATGTTGAGCAGCTGGAGTTCCCCTGGCTCCCAGAGCCCCCCCAGTGCTGCGAGGAAATGGCTGGCAGGTGTCGAGGGCAGCACTTCCTCCACATCATGGCTGCGCACCAGGAACTCAGCCTGGTAGGGCAGCAGGGGGCCTGGGAAGGCCAGGTGGGCACCTCAGATTGTACCCAACCCCCAGCCCAGCACGGATCCTTCCCAAGCCTCCCCCCATCTAAGCTCCTCCCCATAACCCCTCAAGTCCCTTCCTTCTGCCTAATACTCATACATCACAGGCCTCAAACACCCTTCCCCGGCACCCACAGCCTCAACTACTCGCCTGTCAGCAGAGCAGCCGAGAACACAGTTCCAGTGTTTTCAGGGTGCCCTGCCCCCCACTAATTGCTTCTACAACCCCTTCCAAAGGAGATTCCCCCAAGACTGGCATGGTGGGGTAGGGATGGGACAGGGCTGGTGGTACCTTCTGGGTCCCCAATCAACAGCACCAGCATCTGCTGGGTGGTGTCAAAGCTGTCCCGATTGTAGGCTGTGACCTGGAGGATGGGGAAGGGGGGCTGAGAGGTTGGTTAGGAGAGAAACGAGGGGCAGCTGGGCCGGTGAGAGAACACTGAGCGAGCGCACCAAATCAGAGGCACGTGATTCACATAAATGAGTGAACCCCGGGCCCCTGCTGCATGCGACACAGCCAACTGGGGCCCCTGCTGGTACCTCAATGACCTGGCGTCCACGATCTTCTGGGGTGGCGGTGCCATAGAGGAAGCCAGGCTGGTAGGGGTTGCGCTGGGTATAGCGGAGCCACCGAGGCAGGTCTGGGTGTCCCTGGAGGTGGGCGTGGTAGGTAATCGGGACAGGGGCTGGGACAGCTAGTGGAAGGGAGGAGAGGGGATTGGAGACATGACAGCAGCCTTCCCCAGCCCTGGGCCAGGCACCCCTCAGCCCACCCCAGTGCCCCTCAGGCCCCTCTCACGGAAGACGTGCTCAGGAAGGTGCGGGAAGCTTTCGTGGTCCAGGGTGTGTACAAAGGCGCGGCCCACAAGTGGATGCAGGGTGGTCTGCTGGGCCTCGGTGCCCCCCAACCCTTCCAGGAGACCTGTGGGGAGCCACAACCCCAAACACAACGGCCCAGCCTCAGTCCCAGCTGGGGAATCAGGTCCCCTTTCCACTCAGTCCTTGGTGGCCCTGAGAGACCAGAGAAATGTGTGAGAGGAAAGGGACAGCTTTGCTGGCTCCCAGGAAGGGTGGGTGGGGCCCTGACTGTGCCATACACTGTCATCAGTGATGAGACCCAGACCTTAGTTTGGTTTGGATTCATGGAAGCTCCTCACTCCTCATTTTAGGCCCCTAGTGAGTGTCACAATGGGCAAGGATTAATGTCTGACTGAGAGGGGTGTGTGGTGTGTGTGTGTAAGGGAAGTTGGAAAAGAATTCCAAGCTGACTATCTGGGAGACTAGAGAGGAAAGGAAGAAGGGAGGGAGCGGGAAGGACCCCTTGGAGGAGGCTGCTGGCCACTCTAGGGCCTCCCCTAAAATGCAGGGGGAATAGAGTCCACACCAGAGTCCACTAGAAGCTGAGCGAAGGGAAGCCTGAACCCGGAGGCCCAGGGAAAGGATCTGCCCCAGCAGCCCTCACACCTTCCCAGGGCCAAATTTAGCCTGGACCCAGAAAGAAGCCAGCCCAGCCAGCTCATTAAAGGGCCCCAGCGCTCTAGGCCTGTGTGGTTAAGGCCCAGCCTGACACCCCACCCCTCAGAGTTCCCAGCCCCCCCACACACCTCAGCTCCCAGCCCCAGTTTCCTAGAGCCCCACGGACTGTAGAATTTATACTCCAAAGTCCTTCTGGCCCCTGCCTCACCCCAATGACTGACCCCTTCCCTGAGGAACTTCTCACCCCCTCAACCTGGGCCTCTACCCTGAAGAAGACCCCCCACTTACCCACAAGGAGAGAAATCCAGATTAGCGCTGCTGCCATGGCTGCCCCAGCCTGGCCCTGCCCGTGAGTGACAGAGACAGGAGCGGGGGGAGGCGGGGAGAGGCCCGGGCAGGTGTCCCAGAGCAGCTGGGCCCGGATTCAGCCAACAGGGCCCTCCCCATCCCCACCCAGAGCGGGCGCTAAATCTGGGGTAGACCCGGTCTTCACATGACAAGATCCCTCCAATCACCCCCTTCCAGGGCCCAGAGTGTATTTTCTAGATCACCAACCTTAACTGCCTTGATTCTCCTCTTAAAACCCTAATGACTCCCATTGCCCTGAGCTCCCCAGTGGCTGATGGTCTTCAGGCCCTGCCCATACCTGGCCATGCTATCTAGAATCCCCGCCTCTCTTCACTAAGCCCCCCCCCCACACA